ACCTTTTCTTCACCAGAAGCCTTAGTAGGAAAAGAAACTTGGACAATGAGACCTTAGTAGGCATAGAAACTCAGATGTTGTGGGACTAGGGCAAGCAACTGGCTAGGTTTGGGGTGGGCCATTCTTGGCCTAGCCCAACTTTAGTCCCTAAAGAGCTGACTGGCTTGAGGCTGGCCTCCCTGACCATGCCAAATTGGCCATGGCCCAATCCCGGCCTTGACCCTTTCAAGGCTGGGCTGGGCTAAATACGACCCAATAAAGAAAAATTAAGAAAAAAGAAGAAAGTGTTGGGCTTGGCCAACCCGGTTGTGGATGTGATTCAAGCAAGATAGACTCTGCCTTACCTGTGTAGGCTGTAGTGACCTTCCTCTTGGACAATATCTTTTGGCTCGGGCCCTAAAGTTTTGGGTCAGGTTGACAGGATCAGGCAAGGCGACCCAGCTCTTTGCCCGGCCTATGCAGCATGTTACCACCCTCACCTTTCGGCCCCAGGGGGCATTACTTGACCATACTCACTTTATTATCTCATATAATCACATAACACTTAGCCTCTCTACCTATAGAACTTGGACTCACTTACTTTTTGAATAATCATGCAGTAAGCGTAGTTTTTAGTCCAGTTAATCTCTTTAAACCACCGTCCAAGTTGACTCGCTCCAATACCATATCCTTGTTAGTCCAAGTTCAAAAGCCAAAAATACCATATCCAATTACATATCTTAATTGGTTTGGTTTGAAAGGAGCAGACAGCCTATGCAAGCATGTGAAGTGTAAAGTATGCCAATTAAGCATATTTCCACGCGCAACCACGCGTATAGCACGCGCTTCGCGTGTTTTGTAAATGCACCATTACTCTCACCTTTGTTCTAAAAATACAAAGCACGAGAACACCCACACCTAAATACTCGTTAATTTACATTCTCTTTTTCATTATGGGGCTAAAAGCCCTTCTCTCTCTTTATAAATAAAAAACTTAAGCAAAACCACACAAAACATAATCTTATTTTGATAAAGAAGTATTTTTATGAAACCAAAAATACTAACAATCCATTCTCTCTCTACTAGTGCTGCACGAAACTTTTTCCCATATTCTACACATTGCAAGACACGCATACCATATTTTTGCACAAGCACTGTACTTTTTTCAAACCCTTTTCTTGCAAAGCTTAAGGATTTCTCCAATGGATTCTCCCTTGGATTTTATAGTTTTTTTAGCTTGAAGAGAGAGTATTTGGGTTGAACACATTTTGCAAATTGCAAAGTCATTTAACTGTGTTTGAATTAAGTCTTCGTTTTAACAATCCTAAAACTGAGTGTTTAAGCTTCTCCAAACCTTTCTGTTGGGTGATGCAAAGTTTAAAGGTTTCTAAACCCTTGGATATTCATTATGTACAGGCGCAAACTGAGACAGATATAACAGGAGTCAAAAAATGTGAATAAACGTGATTGAGAGCATGTTCCATTGGATGAGAAAGAACAAGGCATTGGGAAAGAAGGTTTTTTTTTTTTGCCATTTCACTGGGGAAGGGGTCCCCAACTGTGGTAGGAATGTAACTTGGCACCCCTTGACCACCTGACTTTGAGCCTATTTCTGGTACTAAGAAAGAAATTTAAGTTAGAGAGATATATGTTGATTTCTCTCTTCTTTGGTTGGAATTTGTAGTATGCAGATCTTCCATCAATAATGCTATTTTTAATATGTAATCCTCCCATCCATAATGCTAATGTAGAACATGTTTCTTGGAACATATAAGAAGTTTAATTCCAACCTTTAAAACCAATGTGCTATTATTTTCTTTCATTCTTTCATTTTTGACAAATAATGAAGCTCTCAGTTCTAATAACTGGTTGTTTTAACTGAATTTGCTGGTCTTCAGCCAAATTTTTTGGCCACAATGTAGTAGTTTCCTACATGTAATGGACCTCTCAGTTCTAAAGGAGGAACTTTTTTATTGTAAATAATTTGTTATGGATTCAAGGAGGAAGATGACTGATCCCATGGCCATTGAATTTAAACCCACTTCCATTTGGAGCCATGACACATGAACTTCTTCTCTACATATTCTCTTTTGGTTTTCATCCTTCCTCTTGTTACATTTCTGGGTCAACAAAGTATAAATAATAAATAAATGATTGAATGGGAATATATGAACACGTTCACAAGATCGTTAAGCAAACATTTGTTTTGGTTTGGATGGTTATAGGATCTTATTGGACAAAAACCAAGCATTGAAGTGTGACTGAATTAATGGATGCATCTTGTTTATGATACAAAGTTGATGACAGCTAATTTCCTACTATGCCTTAAAGAGTCCGAGCACAACACAACACACACACACAGAAAATGAGCTCCTTTAGTCCTTGTTTGTGGAGACATCTATGACATTGACATGGATTAGGAGATATCATGTTAAGCTTCATGATTTACAATGACCCTTTTTATAACAGATGTCTTTGATGAATTTCTAGTGCTCTCTGTCATTTCAAAAATTCCCATGCTCTTGGGAGCTGCATATGGATCAATCTTATCATTGGAACTCTTGAGTTTTAAGCTTCCTTCTAAGCGAAGCAATAGGATATGTTTACAACTGTTTAATTCATTATCAGCTTACAAAGCATAGATGGTTTTTGTCAGCATATGTTCATGCACAATCATAGAAATATTGAATGTCATTCTGTATGGTGTAGAGTGAACCAAACAAACAAGAAGTTAGGAACATTAAATCTACGATTAAGTACCAGTGGAGAGTGAGAAAGAGAGATGCCAAAAAAGGGTTATTAATTGGCTCCTACTTCCTACAGAAAACAAAACAAAGATACTATTAGATTTCATTGCCATGATCTAAGGTTTAAATTGGAAGATTAGCAATAAAAAAGATTACTGTTGATAAATATCACAAGAAAATTTTGCGAACCAATGCAAGGCTAAGCATAGGGGCATTGAGTGTTCAAAACCAGGATCAGTGGGGCAGATCATTCACTCAGAGATCCATGTCGGATCAACAATTCAGATTGGGTCTAGATTGAATCAATGATCCAAAAAATTATTTTAAATAATTAAAATAAAATAGAGGTTTATCAGGTGGGGATTTAGAGGGATCTAAAAAAAATTAGATAAGCTTTAAAAAGAAAAAAGGAAAAGAAAAGAATTATACAAGGGGGGTTTTGGGGGGAACCAGGTTAAGACTTATATTATCCCACCACTTTGGTCTCGACCAATTCTCATCTGGATCAATCATCCAGCTGGAAAGTCACTAGGTTTTAAAACAGCGGAATATTTTGTTAATGAAGAATATAAAAGAGATCAGTATTTCCTTTACCAAAAATAAACTCATTAAAGCATGGTGGGGAAAAATAAAAAGAATTTCGTGGGCTTACCATGAAATTAGACAATATGGAGATACTTGTACAGTGGACAGATCTCAGTATTTGTTAGATTTCCATATTTGCAGCTCTAAATGTGCAAACTTTGATACTTCACCTGGATTCAGTGGTTAGTAAGAAAGATCACTGGAACTAAGATAAAAATATAGCCCGCTGAAATAAGATAAAAATATTACCTACAAAAGAGTGCCAACAAGAAAGACATGAAAATTCCAAAGTGAACCACCCCACCCAAACCCTAAAAGAACCCACAAATGTGCTACTCTCAAATTTACCTAATGACACAAAAAGGGTGTAAAATCAAAACATATTTCATTATTGAATAACACAACCAATTTCCATGATGAAGGCAACCAAAAACCATTGAAAAAAAGAGAAAGGCAAAACAACACAAATTTGATTATCTCAATTCATAGGACAACACAAGAGAGGAGAGTAGAAATAAAATCCAAAACTGAAAATAGACAGAGTAGTAAAAGAAATAACCCAAAAAAAAAAAGAACAAAAAAAAAAAAAAAAAAACAAAATTTGATACCCACCATCCAACAGATAAACAAGAACAAATCAAACCAGCATCTCACAAACAAATGTATCAGATAATAAGCAATTAACTATCTCAAACTTCAAACTCTAGCTTTATGTTAAGGGATGCGTTTATCTTAACAATTCCCAAAAACACAGCAGACAAATATGGCTTACAACATAAACATTAGCTTTCCCTCTCATGATGAGGTTTTTGGGTGAAGAGGGGGATGGGTTTACTAATAAAAGGAGCCCCCAATATAAAGGCAGGAGTAGCATGGGATGGGTTTACTAATAAAAGAAGCCCCCAATATAAAGGCAGGAGTAGCATGCAATGTCCAAACTCTCAATGAAGTTCAATCAGAATGGGAAGTAGGCTTCTCAGCTCCAATATAGTTCTTTTGGCACCATTCATAATCCCAAGAGTGGAGAGTAGGCTTATAATTTAAGAAATTATATCCAAATATTCTGCCAATTTTACATTTGTATGGCTTCCCACTTTTTGTATCGCACTTTTGATATCGTGAGACCATTGCGATATATCAATGCCTCTCCGAGCCAGAGCATCTGGCAAGTCCAGCAAGCCTCATTGTCGACTTTCCTCATTTGAGCATAACAATTTTCACCCACTGCTTTCCATTGAGAATCCATACCACCACTCTTGAACCTTTTACAATTTTCGCGACACATATTTGATCCTCCTTGGCTAAGATTTGGGCACATATTCTTCGTCTTCAATCTTAGGCAGAGCCAGTTGGATCTCCACTTTCTCTGCTTTCATGTCTAGACCCATAAAATCAATTTTGACTTTAGATAAATAATAACAAATATTATCAATAGGTAACATCTCATATCTGCATTGGAGATTGCTTCCACCATGAGGGTTCCTCCATTTTCCCTTTGATGAATCAAATATCAGTGTTTCTTCATCGAATATATATAACTTTCTGTCACGCCCCAAGAATTTACAATACTGATATTCCTGAGATGTAACAGTCAAAACATATATACATCTCTTTTTAGGACAAATTTACAATGGCGAATTCTTACAAAGTAACAAAAGAAAGTTTAAGCACAACTACAATATCTTCCAAAGTTGATCCTGACGAGCACTCAAAATGAAACCGCAATTACCCTGAAAAAAAATGTTTGCCATAATTTGATGAGTTTGGTTACTCAATAAGTGATCATCATAATCCTAAAAATAATCATGGTTGAAAGATATCAATATTTTCAAAAAAGAGATCTACTAACAAAAACGTATTAACAGTTTCACTTTCAAAAATTCATAATTAACTTTCGAAAGCAACAATATCATGTACTCAACATATCACTGAAATTATTAATATGAATTTCACTGAAACCATTATTAACAGTCACTTTCAATAACATTTCAAAAAATAACCAGTCACATATTTTGGGCTCAAATTTAGAAAGATAGCAGTTCGTAAAGACATTCTAGCATAATTGTCAATCTAATATGTATAGAAAACTTCTTATAGAAATTCAAGAATACGGAATTATCACAATTTATGAGATGTCAATTCGCAAATAAACATTTCACAAACAATGCTATTATCAATTTTCAAATAATAAGGCAGCCATTTGCACATGAAACTTACAATGTCTAAATATTCAAAAACAGTAGAAAGAAATCTCACAATTTTACTAAAAGCAGAAATATCACATTTATTTCTAATAATTTTATAGTATCTAAAATTTTCTAACAATAGACAAGAATAATAAATAAATTTATTTCTAAGAATTTACAGCATTTAAAAGTTCTAACACAAATAAAATATCACATTTTTATTAAAAAGATTATTTTTCAAAATAATGAAGTCGCTTGCGCATAAAATTTATCGCACCTAACATTCATGATAATAAACAGAAATAATTATTTCATTTCATTTTTAAAAAGAACGAATTATTTTTTAAGATAATGAAATCACTTATCTAAAATATTTGAGATAGAGCTTCCGATAAAATTCGACTAGAGAGAGGAGCTCACTGCGTTTCAACTAGAGAGAGAAAGATCTCAAAAGTTTTCTAGAGTGGGAGTCCTCACCTCTCCTAATTTAAATTCTTAAGACATATTATTATATTATCTTATTAAGCTCCACCTCATACATGAGGTGTGACGATAATGTTGTACGTGAAGCCTTTAAGGTCCACGTCAACTATAGGACATGGTAAAGGAAAGGACAAAGTTAACAAAAGTGGAGATGGTCCCTAAGGACCATAATACTTATATGGACCATCACACTATAAAGAATTATTTATTTATTTATTTATTTATTTTTTGAAAGTTTACGATTGTTACACCTTCGTTGCGAATCTTGATGATAATCTTGAAATCACGACTCGGGGGATCAAAATAAAACCCCCAAAAGGAGTAGAGAATAAAATATAGAGGAAAATATTCATGAACAAGTATCAGTTATAGACGACAAAACTAAGGTGTCCAACACGAGAGAGATCAGGAAAAAAAGAGAAAATAGTACCCTAAATGAACCCAAAAAAAGGAGGAATGGCATGGAATACCTAAGCTGTCAATGATCATCTTCACTCATCTCAGAATAGAAAGTAGGCTTATAAGCTGCAAAGTGGTCATTTTGGCAGCCTTCATAATCCCAAGTGTGCAGGATCAGCTTATAAGTGATGAAATTATCTCCGCCACTAATTTTAGATTTGTGTAGCATCCCACTCTTTGTATCATATTTCAATATCTCGATGCCCTTGCAAAACATCAATGCATCTCCAAGCCAAAGCACAAGGCAAGACCAGAAAGAGTAGCTATTGAATTTCTTCATATATACACTAACAATTTCCATCCACTTCTTTTCGGTGAGAATCCACACCTTCACAGTTGAGCCTTTATCCATTTTTGTGACATAGAGTCGATCCTCCTTTTCAAAGATTTTGACTGTATGTTTGTCTCCCTTGACCTTTGGCATAGGCAATTGGATCTCCACTTTCTCTGTTTTCATGTCTAAACCCACCAAATCATTGCTATATTCAGATATGTAATAACAAATATAACCAATAGACACCATGTCGGACCAGTATCCCAAGGCATTAGAAATACTGTTTCGAGCCCAAGGCTTTCTCCATTCTCCCTTTGATGAATCAAATACTCCATTTTCTACAAAGATGTTGAAGCAGTCATCACTGCAAATCCCCACCATTATCTTGAAATCTCGACTTTCAGGGTCAAAATGAAACCCGAAAAGAGCATCGACCACGAACTTCTTCATGAATTGATCAGGAAAGTATGGGATAGTTGTGAATTGACCAGTTGCAGGGTTAGCGGAAGACATTGATCACTGTAACCCCACAGTTGTCTTCAACATTAAAAATGCATAGGACGCCATTGTTGACCATGATCTGACAACCCAGGCTTCAATGGATGATTAGAAGCATCCATGGATGCTCGGATCTTAGTCTCACAACACGATAACTCATTGTCGATGTCGTGAAGAGACATTACATAATCATCAGAAGAGAGAAAGAAAGTAAAGGGATTGGATAGTGCAGATGAGCTCGAGAGAGGGTGAATTCGAGCAAACAAAGGAGAGGATAAGAAACGATTCCAGAGATTTGATATAGATTGAAAGCAGAGAATGCTCTTCACTGGTAATAGCAACAGGATCTTCTCCATGAGCTTATTTGGGAGAAAATTAGAGAGGCGGTCTTTACCTAACTTGACGGAGAGGTGAATTTGAGTGATCTCTTTACCAGTGACAACACGAGCGTTTGCAACACCGCGTCTTTTCGGACCAAAGTAATCATCAATGGTGGCCATTGAAGTCATAAATCTATACTCGTTCTCTCTCTACATTCTACTCTTTCTCTCTAATTTCTGTCACGCTCCATTCTACTTGCTCTTTCTCGCTCTAGTCGCTCTCTCCCTTCCATTCTCTTTCTAAAGTTCAGGGAAATAACATTTATAAACGAATAAGGGCGGGAAAAATCGGCGAATAAAAAAGCGGGAAAAAATGGGCTGCAAAGAGCAGGTAAAAGTCGCCATTACCCCTAGTATTTTACACAAAGACATGTTTACCCAGCGGGAAAAATTGGCGAATAAAAAAAAGCGGGAAAAATGGACGAAAAAGAGCAGGAAAAAAGTCGACATTGCCCCTAATATCTTACGTAAAGACGTATATATTTAGTTACAAAAGACGAAAATACCCTCGTTTGGACTGCCTTGCAGAGTCAGACCCAAGAGCATGTCTGGTGGGCATTTTTGACTTGTGCAAGTGGGAAACAAAAACAATGATACAGTTACATAACCGTTCCCCCCAAATTGTTAGGGTTTTACAGTGAGCTTTCGCACTGAGAGTTCTTAGGGTTTACATAGCCATTGATCTTGGTGAGAAGTTGTAGGTCTTCAGGGTTTTCTCTTTACCTGAGCTCATTATACAGAGTCTGCGATTTTGGGGTTGTTTTATCACTTTGGTTTGTATATAGAGATCCGAGAATCTCAGGGCCAACAACAATGGCGATTTGAGCTGTGGACAGTTCCTGTTCATTTTCTAGGGCAGGAACTTGCATTTTCAGAAGGATTCGAGCCCTAGGATTTAGCATTTTGCAGAGAAAGTCAAGCTACTTCGATTTCTAGGGTTTCCGGACAACCACCATTCTCTCGGACTCAATCAGAGCTGTACGTCTTACAATGCCTTAATATGCAGAGGAAGTTGAGAGCTAAGATTTTAGAGTTTTTGGTTCCATGTGCTTGCTGAGGGATCTAGATCTGAAGTTACTGTTGCAAACTTTGATTTAATGTCATGAATACGGCTTCGGCAGTGCATAAAATGTATCGTTTGGCTACGATTTTTTAAACTAGGAAGTGAAAACCTTAAAAAATGCTAAGAAATGCATTGTAGGCCAAAAATGGTGATTATTTGAAGTGGAATATGGATTTTACTGATGCTTATAAACAATCAGGACCTTCTTGCTTCTCACCTAATGCTCGTTATTTGGCAGTGGCCGTTGATTATCGCCTTGTTATCAGAGATGTGCTCTCTCTCAAGGTAATTGTTTTATCACACTGGATTTTGAGCACAGTTTATCTAATTGACTAGAAAGTGATTTTCCGTGTTGATTATTGCCTGGTTATCTTTTAGACTAAATTTTAAGCACATTTCATCTAATTGATTTAATAAAGTGATTCATAAGAGAAAAGGTGTTTCGGATTGTGTTTACTAAGAGAACTAGTTGGATCTATGAGCATTTTGCAAGATGTCAAATGGCCTTTTGATAATTGATGCAAAGTTGCCATTTTTTCATTGAGGGAAAATAACTGAAATAGAATTGGGGTTTCTGATGTTTTTGCATTGATTACTGATGATGGTCAAAAAGTTATTGTCACCATATGTTCTTATGAGAAGTAACGTATACGTGTTCTTTTTAAGTTACTAATCTTCTTGAATAATTTTATCAAAGGAAAGGACTGCCATGGAAATTGTTATGGATGGCCTTGTGACTTGATCTTCATTGAGTTTGTTTATTTATTATTCTTGTCCTTTGGCATTTGGTTCGTTCCTTAAATGGTAATTCTTCAATTACTTAATAGGATGATAAACACTCCCTTGTAAAATAAATGAAATTTATACTGAATCCATATAAGGTATAATGCATTAAAAAAAGAGTATTGTCCAACAGAATAGAGAAAAGAAGATCTAGGTCCATCCCCATCTACGGTCCTCTTCAAGGTATGGTCCTCCATTGCCCCACTGAAGGTGCAGGCTTTTAACTGGATAGCAGGTTCTGAAAGAGCCCTACCCCAATCCCCAACAGGCACTCTTGCCTATAGCTTTTGGAGTAAAATCCTTGGAAACTTCGGTCTGACCTGGGTAACTCCAGCCTCTATTTCAGGTCTCTTTCTCCTCACTGCGGGCCCTCCTTGGCCCAAGGCAGGTAGACTCTTATGGAGGGCCTCCATAGCAGCAACCATATGGGTAATTTGGACTGAGAGAAACTCCACGATATTTATAGGTGCCAAAAGTGAGGGCCGAGCCCTTTTTCATAGAATCACTTCCATAGTGATCTTCTGGGCAACAAACCACAAAGCCTTCAATGGCATCTCAGCCACAGCCGTCATTCATAGGTGGGAAAATGTCTTTCAATTCCAACCGTGCCGGGCAGTGAGAGCAAACAATTGGTTGCCCCCTCTGGCATATCACATCAAGCTTAACTTTTACGAGTGTCCCTTGGGAATCCCCGACCATCAGGCATTGGGGGGTGTTCCGAGATCCTCTTGGACACGTTCTCAACTCACATTGGTCACGCTAATTCTCAGTTGGCCAAGTCTTTGGCTCTTCTGTTGGGACTCAAAGCATTCCAATCTGGCTGGGACCTTCCCTTGCTGGTAGAAGGAGATGCAAAGAACATCTTAACTTGGGCTGCTGGCCGCGCCGACCTAGCATCTATCTTTGATGAAATCTCCCACATATGCAGGGATCTTCCCGTCTTATGGATGCATACCTGGAGGGAATCAAACTTCCTCGCAGACCAGCTGGCTAGGGATGGGGCTCTTGCACAGACCATGGATCATGGGGCTTCAGGGACAGATTTTTAGTAGACAGGGGCCTGCCCCTTTTTTGGCACCAAAGGACTGCTCCTCTGGTTTCTTTTGTAAATGCCCGACTTCTTTGAGCCTTTTTGGCCTTCACTGTACACTGCTGTAAAGGGTAACTGATATAAGCCCCATTTTTTGTATAGGGGTACTCCTTTGGGTAACCTATTTTTGCCAGGCGACGGCTTGTGGGCCCCGTAGAGCAACCCTTTTGTACCTCTTCTTTTTTACAAACATTAACATTATCTATAAACGATAAGAGGTTTTTAGCAGAAGAATGAGAAAGATCTTGAGTCCAAATAGGGTGGTTTCCAAAGAAAACAATCAATCCTACAACACATTTAGCCAAAAAAATTGCAATAAAATTTGGCGACAAATGAGGTATACAACAACGTTCATTTGATTCCTTTCTTGAACACCATATGCTTAGCTTCAACAGTCAAAGCTAAGTCACAGCAACTCATCATCATCATTTAGCCGTTTCCCAATTAATAGGGGTCGGCTATATGAATCCTGGTTCTCCCATAAGTTTATCAGGATTCATGATGGGATTTGGCAAAATTTTACATTGGCTGCCTACTTAACACAACCATGCCCCTTTACCAGGATTCAATAGTCAAAGTAAGTCATAGCAACTAATATCCACAAACTGTTTGACCAATGTTGAGCATTAGTTATGATTCTCTTAGTTTCCTCAGGCTTGCGTGAAACTCGTTTTTTCTCTCGGTATTTTTTTTAATCATCTCTTATGATTTATTTGCTTCTTCATGGACTTATATGAATTGGGTTGTCTCTGTTCAGGTTGTACAATTCTATTCATGCATGGACAAGATAAGCTACATCGAATGGGCTCTTGATTCAGAGTACATTCTTTGTGGTCTCTACAAAAGGCCTATGGTCCAGGCATGGTCCCTAACCCAACCTGAATGGACCTGCAAAATTGATGAAGGCTGTGCTGGAATTGCTTATGCAAGGTGGAGCCCTGATAGCCGCCATATCCTCACAACATCAGACTTCCAATTGAGGCTAACTGTTTGGTCTCTATTGAATACGGCTTGTGTTCATGTTCAATGGCCAAAGCATGCATCAAAAGGTGTTTCATTTACACAAGATGGGAAGTTTGCCGCTATTTGCACAAGGAGAGATTGCAAGGACTACATAAATCTTCTATCATGCCATTCATGGGACATTATGGGTGTCTTTGCTGTTGATACAATAGACCTAGCCGACATTGAGTGGTCCCCAGATGATAGTGCGATAGTTGCTTGGGACTGTTCTCTTGAGTACAAGGTACAATAATTTGATCATCATATTTGTTCCATGAAAAAGTTGCCATGAAAATTTGTTATGAGTGGATACAACTGTATCCATTGAAAAAGAAAAAGGAAAAAAAAAGAGGATTATTAGCATCAAGAGACAGGGTGTGCAGTCAAAGATATAATTGGCCAAATATACTGCAATTTAAAGCTCATCCTTGGATGTTAATTGCATCTTAAGAAAATAAATTGACCATGCATCTAACTACAATTTAATGTAGAGGGTCATGCTTTAGGAAAATTGTAATTGTGTGGGCTATCTATGGTGCCTTATTTGTTGCTTTAGTTATAATTGTTTTGCTTACATGTTGTCCATTCTTGGTTGATGAGTTGAACAGTCACTATTGATCTCCAAAAGTTTTTGTGCATTTAATAGATCAATCTTATTGTTGACAATTAGGTGCATGTAAACTGGCCCATTGCTGTTTATCATTGGAGCATTTCCCTTTTTTGGATAAAATTTTTAAGGCATTGAAGCATGAAGCTCTGCTTTAAATGCCATTGGCCTGATCTAATTGTTTTGTTTTTCAGACAAGCAAAAGTAGTTTGTGTGATTTTTTTTTTTCTGTAATATTTAGTAGTTCAAAAAGAGAAAATTTGGGGCAATAGCCCATTCCGCATATCCATCATGTGTTGTTTGAGAAGCACTTCAATATAGATTGATTCCAAACATTCTTTACAAGATAAGAATATGGAGTTTTCCTGGTTTTTGTTACAGATCCTTATTTACTCCCCAGATGGAAGGTGCCTCTTCAAGTATCAAGCCTATGAAAGTGGTTTGGGTGTTAAAACTGTAGCTTGGTCTCCATGTGGCCAGTTCCTAGCAGTTGGTAGTTATGATCAGATGCTAAGGGTCTTGAATCATCTAACATGGAAGACTTTTGCCGAATTTATGCACATACCCTCTGTTAGAGGGCCATGTTCTGCTGCCATTTTCAAGGTCAACATTATATTTTGAAGCAAATGGCTTGCTTGCATTATCTGAGCCCCAAAAGTATAAAAAGGGTTGTCTTTTGATAATTGCGCAGGAGGTGGATGAGCCCTGGCAACTTGATATGTCGGAACTTTCTCTCAATGATGACTTTTCTCAGAATATAGACGGCAATGGCACTCGTGAGCAGGGTTCAGAAAGCTTTATGTTATTTGGTTTATCATAATTGAAAGAAACTAAATTTATTTGGTTTAATTCTGTGTCATTTGTTGTCATGTTATATCTTGGTATTATCTTTTTTATAACCTATACAATTGACATCCATATTCTTTCAAGCTATGATCACTTAGCAAGAGAAAAAGAGAAACAGATAGGACCTGTGTACCTAGGATCGACTTATATATTGCCTGTTTAAGAAGTTTTGCTGTTTGGTCGATAATTTCACATGGTTAGGCACTGTGGATAGAGTTATTTGGATCAGAGAACTAAAGCTATTTTTTTTTGGCTAATTAAGAACAAAACATTCTCTGCCAATAAATTGTATGTAAAATTGTAATCTTGCTGTATTTCCATCTCCATTATTAATAGTGAATTGTGCTTAATTTGCATGTCATAGTCTTTGTCTGATAGATACTTTTTTGTGATGCTTATGCATGTGGTTTTTATTCAGAAAATACTCCAGAGACCCATTTTAGTGTTCGGTACAAGGTAATGGATGTTCCAGTGAATTTGCCTTTCCAGAAGCCCGCTTTAGACAAACCTAACCCAAAGCAGGGAGTTGGTAAGCCTGCAATCTGACCTTTGTTTCTGATTATGGTTCTATTTATGTGCATTGCATAGATGTTCTTTTGAATTTAGTCTTCCCATTTACATGATGTTCCATTAATTGCTGTTCGTTTAAAGAAATGAATAGGACTGCCTGTCATTACGTGAACATGACAAGTGTCTCAATTTTCAAAAACTATGACATGAGTATCCTTGAGATCTTGAGAACATTCCAGCTATTGTGAACCTCGGTCTCATGACTCTCTTCTACTCTGGTCTTTCCCTTTGCAAGGGAAGGTGTAAGAACTCTCTCTCTCTCTCCCGGTCTGCAGCTGGTAGGCAATTGCAGGCTGGCACCGAGTCCTGTTCTCTCTTCTTTCATACAGTGGGTTTATCATTTCAAGTGAGGGCCCAGGCAGCTCTGAAATTTCAAGCTGCTGCTTTTCAGAGAGAGAGAGAGCCACGGCAACTGAAAAAGAAAAGAACCAAGAGCAGCCCAACATGATATGCTAATCCCCATCATGCATATTTTCTTCTCTACTCCACTAAACTACCATCTAACCATCTACTTTTCATTCCTCATTCACAGGTTTACTTTCGTGGAGCAGCGATAGCCAATATGTAGTAACCCGCAACGATAGCATGCCTACTGTCCTTTGGATTTGGGACATTTGCCACCTTGACCTGGCCGCTATCCTTGTCCAGAAGGAGCCCATTAGAGCTGCGGCTTGGGACCCGTCAAGCCCACGCCTGGTCCTATGCACTAGTAGTCCTTACCTTTACATATGGACTCCAAGTGGTGCTTGTTGTGTTAGTGTCCCATTGCCTGATTTCTCAGTTTCAGACCTCAAATGGAACTCAGATGGAAGCTGCGTTCTTCTTAAAGATAAGGAGGCTTTCTGTTGTGCTTCTGTGCCTATCTTGCCGGATTCTGATGATGAGAGCTCAGAAGGCTGATGTGGTACTCTCTCTCTCTCTCTCTTTCTCTCTCTGGTTTTGGATTTTAAGTTTTTTACTAATTATTTTCTTCTTTTTTCTTTCGTGTTTTTAGGGTCGTGGGAATTGCAACTTTTATTGGGTTTCTAGGGTGGGTTTTGGGGACTGAGTTTTCTTCGGTTTTTAGAGTCTCATGGGATGGAAAAGTAGTAGTGTTTGGATGCCACTTGTTTTGAAAATATCAATGAAATGGATGTTAGTTTTGATGGGGGGAATGGGAGGCCAGGGTTCTGAAATGTGGTTTAAGCGTTGTGGTGTAATGTGGAACCATTGGAAGTGCTGAAGAGGTTAAAGGGTTTGATCTTCTTTGAGATAATGAGATGAGCTCAAAGAGGATAACTAGGAGGAGGTGCTATCCATTTTGGGGGTTACGAACAATAGAAGGCAAATATTGATGATAGAGTTGAACTTTCATCTGTATGGAAGTTGAAATGGTACAGCATGGTTTCTTTTCTTTCATATTCTGTTTTTTAATACTGTTGGGTTGGCCTATATTTTAAGGGCACTTCATTCAAGAGAATTTGGGTTCTCCATCACTCTGTCGTTATTTTATGTAGATTATTTTATTTGCCCAAACATTATTAAAAGCCAAAAGATATTATCCTCCTTCAGGAGTATATTATCCATTTATTCCCTTTGGTAAAACCCCATCTAAGATTAATTTTAGGATCCTAACTTTTGGGCCTCAACTCATAGATCAACCTCAATAAAAAAGATTTCCTAATTCCACCTACGCACTTGAAAAATGTGATATCCTCGAGATTGAATAACTATTTAATTTTCAGAGGGTGAGATCTAAGCAATATAAAACTCAAATTTTTATTTTTTTGTCTTTCAAGAATAATCATCTTGTGATTCTTATGTGGTTCCCAAAATTTCAAATTAAAAAAATCTTCCCAAGTAAATCCAATGGCCAAAGGAGTAAATTTAAACTATGCTCCTGAGGGAGTATAGCGTACATGTCCTTGTTAAAAATTTAAATGGCGAAGTCACCCTTAAAAATCACTTGTCAAATCAACTGTTTTATGAATGATGAATGCTTCGGCAAGATCATTTGATTGAAGTATTTCCTCTAGTAATTTGTTAGAAAATTGGCCACAACACATCTATTAAGGTTTAGAATACTTAGAATATTGAACAAGCAAAGGTATTTTGGTAATTGGATTAATAAAATAAATTTACCCCATTTGTTCAAGATTCTAAAACTTAGATAAAAGTTTTTAATAAAGAAGACTACGATTTTGGAATCTACTGCAAGCACTGGTGGTAATTTTTTCATTTTGCTCAGCCATTTCAATCGAGCTAAATAATACAGGCATTTTGCTTAGGCCCTAAACCTAAAAGCAAGAGATTTCAATGAAAAACCATTCGTTCGGTTTGGAGCTTGGAACAAGTACGTTACTTAATTTGAGCCACTCACGGAGGGAAAATTTTGTGCAAGCCAACGGGGTTGCTATTTTAGCAAAACGTGGGGTTAATGGTTGCTAATTTGGGACTCTATGCTATTCTAATTGGCCTATAGGGAAGCCAATTGGGTTGTTAATTTTTAGCAAAACGTGGGGTTAGTGGATTGCATACTGTAATTTGGGACTCTTAGCTATTGTAGTTGTTATGTTTACCTGCATTAACAATAAAAGTTTATACTCTTGTAATAAAATAAAATAAAATACCAACTTTGTTCATAAATTCTATTTGGTTTTAAACCTTTTAATAATATTTTCTCTATTATTTGGGTAGGTAAGCTAGGATTCAAGTCTTGGATAATTAGTGTTCACCATGCCTCTACACTGCCAAAACAACCATTTGTACTATAGATGTGACTAACAATTCACCTCAACGAGTTTTTTGGATCTCTGGCTTATATTTTAATTGGACCTACCTTCTAACAATATTTATAAGAAAATGCAAGATTCTGAAAAAAAGTTCATACAGGTGCGCCGATGTTGTACTGTAAAAGTATGGCATACATCAACATGCATAGGAGAAGGTTTTCCCGATATTAGAAAACCCTCGATTAATCATCGCGGTTTTAAGATGTATAGATATGGGAAAAAAATTTCAAATCCTCAAAATAGGTCATTTTATAACTTATTATCTAAACCATCTATTTTCAAGATTTTCTATCGTTTATAGTATGCACCATTTTTTAAACTTTAAATTTTATGGTTTGGGGTGGAAATAGATTTTTAATCGTGAGGGTTTCAAGTGCTAGAGCACCTAATGGCAGAGTTTGGAAGTACGCCTTACTTTGACAGTTCGAAGTTAACACCTTATATAAACTACATGATTTTAAAAATACAACCTTTAAGATCTTTTTGATGGGGTTTATTTATGGAGTTTTGGAGACTACGATATTATCATATAGAACCCAAAATTTACAGGCTTTATATTTGAACTTGAGATTTCTACATTTACATGTAGAAATAAATTATATATGGTTACAATTTTATGAGACAACTAAGAATAGGAATATTATGAGACACTAAGAGTACCAATTAGAATTACACAACATGAGAAAGAATAGGAATATTATGAGACACTAAGAGTACCAATTAGAATTACACAACATGAGTCACTCCAAAGCCTAAAGTCATGGAAGGGAATCTGATAAACCCCTAAATGACCAAGACATACAATTTCATAAACTGACCAAAAAGAACTCTTTTACACCCCCAAGTTGACAATCAACAAGGAATGCACTAGGGGGAAGCTCTACATGAACTGCGCATCCTCTTTTTGATAAATAGAAATTTATTACAGTTATAATTGCAGAGATCTAGATATCATCCACAGGTGCACTATGGTAAGCAATGTACTGCTGGTTAGAATTTACCGGGTCTGCATGGTATTGCCCATAAAATGCATAGACGCCAACCGAGAAGATGCTCAAGACAACAAATCTCACCCAACCCTCCCAATGTAGCTGCACAAAAGACCAGATTAGTCGTTCTCTCTCCCAAAAAAAACACAAAATCCCACCCCACACCAAAAATCAGATTAGTATCTCTCCCTCCCTGTCAAAAATAAAAATAAATAAATAAAATGTTTGACTCTTTGGGAACCTATATGCAATGAGTGTCACCAACTTTTGGATGGTAAAATCACATTTCCCCAAGCCATTAAATGCATTTTTTTGGCCATCAGGGAAAACTTGGAAAGCTGGGGTGTGTCATTCCTCTGCTCAATAAATCTCATGTCAAAGTTCACATTTGACAACTTGGAAGATGTGAATTTTCTGTTTAAAAGAATAACTGCGGACACCGAGTACAATTGCTTCTCTTGGGGCCCTAAGCTTGGAATTGAACCCAAGACCACAGTGCTAGGACTGCATCCCTCCAACCACAAAGCCCAGAGGATGCCAAACCATTGTTTAATCTTCTTTGTCGAAAGAACTTTGCTATTTGACTAATAAATGTGGATCTATCCTAGACCAATGCCGAAATTCTAAACCTTGGGTGTGAAGCTAATGAATGGCACCAATTCTAAGAGGTCATAGCAAAATGTTCCTAGGAGAATGTGAAGTAACCTGTTTCCACAAATGAAAAAGAAAAGACAACAATATAAAAGCGTTTGAAATTATAGTAAAGAAACTCCTAACCATAGATTCAAGTGCAACCCCATATCTCTCTCTCTCCCTCTCCCTCTCTCTCTCTCACACACACACACCCACACACACACACATCCACACAGTGAAAACAGCTTTTGTGAATGTGTGTTGTAGCCATGCTCTCTTGGAGATGGATGTTTAAAAAAACCAACACATCATTGGTAGCTTCTTTCAACACATTCCAATTCCCATGTTTGCTTCTCAAGCCTACAACACAAAAAAAGAAATTTGGTAAGAGCTTACCTGTGCAAACAAGAATATGTTGAGAAAGATGCAAACCGCCGGCACTAAAGGAACTCCAGGACATGAAAAACCAGGTGGATCTGCATATACCTGTTTAAACCAGCCAAGGAAATGGATATCATGATTCTCATACAAGAAAAAGAAAATGGAGCTAACCTAAATACTAATTTTTCCCTGAATAAGCATTTGCAATCATCACAAATTTGAGGCATACATCGATCAAGGAAATCTAATGTCATTTCTTGAATATAAACACAAGTTTGCAATTAAATAAATGGCTTTTTTTTTTTTTAAAGAAAGGATAACTTGAATTAATAGTGATAATATTACTTACAAAAAACCATAACTAAGTGGTAAAGGCATCCCACAAGAGGATGCTCAGACAGTACAATCTACAGGACACAAGAAAGCGGCAGAAAGTAGACAAAAATTGAGAAGCACCAAGAGTCGCCATGAAAAAGACGGGGGGAAAAAAAAACAAAACAAAGAGGCAACCACCCTCAAGTGGTGTAGGCAAACCAACGCTAAAATAAATGGCACGGTACCACTACTTATTTCTCAAGTTCCATCGATTTCTATTTTTCTTTTACCGATTGATGTTAAGCACCCATAAAGTAAGTACATTCATTAGTATGCTACACTCGCATCATTTTGATAAGTTGGAAGTATGGTCATAATGCTTCCATATGAGCATGCAAGGCAAAGTTAAATGATGCATCTAAGTAGCCTTGAAAGAGGGTTCTCAAACAATTAATATAAGATAAGCATTCTCTTTTGCAACAATCAAGAGCTTTAACAGATTAAAAAGTAACAGATAAAAGGTAAATAATGGTTTGTACTCACTTGGCGAAAGTGAAGAGCAGCAATAAAGATCATGGCTATCACAATGGCCACTAGAGAAAAGAGAAATGAAGCATTGAAACGATAGCAAAGCCCTGTAACAAAGCCGCAACATGCAACTCCAAAGAGGCAGATAACACCCTTCTGCCAGGTTGAGAGTCCCATCCCCGAAACTAATCCTGCTCCCTTATCATTTTGACGTAAAGTTACAACACAGGCCGAGACAACTGAGTAGCCTGTCTGTTAACCAAATCAAGTTCAAAATGGTTTAGAAGGATTTGATTTTATGTCAATAATGGTCATTATAAACATAACAACTACTACTAACCAAAGGTAAGTTTGCAAATTCCAATGGATTACAGAAAATCCACAGTCCAACTGGTGATTGGCATCTATTGAAACGGAATGCGATGGAGAGCATAACGACCATTTGGGTCCACTCTCTGCATTGCCAACCATTCATTTCATGGAAGGTGACTATCATAGTGGACTATGGTTTTCATTGTCTTATAGTATATTTTCCCAAGGAATTATCAGAGTCCAAATAGATTGAAGAAGGGTTTAGACTTTAGACAACATACTAGAGAGCCAACTGAGAGAATATGAGAAAGATGGTGAACATCAAATACTCCAGCCAATATCCCAGCGACCATGCCAGCCCAGATCTGCGAATTTATAGGAGTATGAAATTTAGGGTGTACTTTCGCAAAGATTGAGGGCAAGAGACCATCCCTTCCAAGGCCAAGATACAACCGTGACTGCACGCAAAAAATATTCAGGTTTTCAATTTGACATATAAACTAAGTGAAAAATATGGCAAATATATTTATATCGGAAATGAAAAGTATATTGCTATACCAATAACACTCCAAAGGGCCATCCTCCGTCCACTTCCAATGACAAATGGATAAAGATTAACTGTACGTGGGTGCTGTCCTGGAGAGCCCCATTACTGTTAATCTCCTCTCTTCAATCAGGAGGACTGGATATTGGATTCCTTTTGGAGTAAGGTCAATCATAGTCCATGTCTACCATATTCCATTGGATAATGGTATACCAGGAAGGGAACATATTTCATTTGCTGAATATGCAAGGGAGTTCACCTGAACATATAAACCAACGAGGAGTGTTGTAGTAAGGCCAGCAACCGCACCTATGCTGATGAGAACGGATACAAATTTCAATCCTTTTGCAATAAAAGCATCGGCCAATGGGGCCTCTTCACCAAGTGATTGATAAGGCACCATACCAGTTATCACTAAGGAGACCCCAACATACAAAGCAGCAATGATAGTGAGGCTCACAAGTATGCCTATTGGTAAATCCCTCTGATATGAAGTTATGCAGAACAGAAGAAAGTTGTTAGAGAATCTTATTACAGAAATAAACTAAATCTAGAATTTGTTTAGAAGGTGCCGTAAAAACATAGTGCCTAATGTAAGCTTATCTCCTGAATCCAATCTTTTACAGAGAAGTTACCAAGCACTACCGAAAGAAAATCATTTCTACAGAGAAAGAAGGGAAAGAGAATACAATACCTGTGGTCTTTTTGATTCTTCAGCTGAGTTTGCAACTGCATCAAAACCAACATATGCAAAGAAAACAACAGTTGCTCCTGTTACGATTGCTTTGAATCCATATGGAGCAAAAGGGGACCAATTTGATGCATCCACCTCAAAAGCACCAGAAAAGATGACCAGAACAACAATGGTTACCTGTATAATCACTTTCTCCAATCAGGAATCTTAGAATAGCCACACTACACAATGGAAAGTTCTAAGAAAAATATTACTAAGCTTTTAATGAGAGATCTGGTTCAAGACATGCTGAGGCACGAACTGATATAATAATATCCTTTCCTTTTTTAGATTTTCCCCCTGGAATGGCAGGATCCTTAGCAAAAAAGGCGTGTCATGAAAAAAAAAAAATGCAAACACATGAATGCATTAATAAAAAATACTAGAAATTGAACAGTTCAATCCAGTAACACCTCCGCAGTAGAACAAATCAAGGAACAAGACCCAAAAAGAAACAATAAGTTGGTGAAGACAAGGATGATTCTAGTAAGCTGCTATCGCGAAATATAATGTCAAGAAAAAAGGAACTGCAAGCACTGCAAAAGTACACCTTTTTTAAATTATGAAAGAAATGCCTTCCATAATTCCATAATCGATCTAATCAGGAACATAATTAAAAAAAAAGTGCAAAGAAAACAGCCAATCCTGATGCTTTTTGGTATTGGTTCAACTAATCTCTACCTTAAATGCCATAAGAGATAATTGTTTATGCTCCAATCTGTGCCCACAGATCGGAGCGTAAACAATAATGGATATTAGAAAGTTATTACCTGGGAAAAGAAAGATTACCTTCAAGATGGTCATGAACGCATTGACCATAGCCGATTCTCCCACACCTCGGCAAAGTATTATTGTCAGGAGTATAACGAGAATTGGGGCCAAGATGTTGATGGAAAAGACCCCAAAAAGATCCAATCCATCTTGCCCAATCCAACCGGGTATGTTGTCCTTTAGAAAGGGAAAGAGTTCCAATAATGATATCAAGTAACTTGCCAAACTTCGAGCTAGGCTAGCAGCCCCTATGTGGTAATCTAACATAAGTTGAGCAAATACAAGGAAAGCAGTGAGCTCATTAAAAGCTGTATATGTGTACATATATGCTCCCCCAACAACAGCTGGAAATCGTGAAGATAGCTCTGCATAACACAGAGCATTGAGGGCAGATGCTGCTCCGGCGAGCGCAAAACTAACTGTCACACCTGCACTGAAGCAACTTAAATGAATAAGAAAAAGATATTATTAAGAATCAAGAATAAACTCGGCAAGCATGAGCAAGGTATAAAATCATTAATGCTCGCATCACCATCATCATTGAAGAATATGGAGAGAGAGAGAGAGAGAGAAGTATAAGATGAAAGGGATCCAAGTTTCTATAAATAGAAGAAATATTCCATCCTGGATGCCAATTCGATCCATCTGGGCTTTTCAATTAATAGAAGAAATATTTCACCCAGGATGCTAATCCGATCCATCTCGGTTGAAATAATCTAAGAAACATCAGCTGAAACTAAATTCAGCTCTGTACACAGCAGACTTTTCAGCCCAGTTTTGTACATTTGTAAGTTGCAATTTATGTATCAATACAAGTCACTTCACACTTTACAAAATACAGAAAAGAAAATACATTCAGCGAAGAAAAAAGAGATAAAAACTGAAAAAACAAAGTCAAAGACAAAAAAGAGAGAAAGATATTACCGAAGAAAATTAAAGTTAGTGATAATGGGCTAAAAAATGTCACCATATTGGCCAACTAGTCCAAATCCAAATGAAGTAACAATAACATATTAAAAGCAAAGAAATATCCATGCTTTTGAGATTATTCAGCCAAATCTGCAAAGTGTTATTTTTCATACCAATTCAGCCCAAAAGGATCAAAATTTTCACTGTATAACTGAAGTCGACCACTAAAATAGAAGAATTAAGATACACACCATGGCTTTGGGAAGATTATCTGACCCGTATTAACCCAATTGATCACCAAGGACATTAAAATCGCAGTTCATCACCCAAAACACAAATAAAAAATTTCACTATGCCACTAGTTACATCGAATATGAGTCATCGTCATCATCATCCAAGCCTTATCCCAACTATTGGGGATCGGCTAATTCATGAAAAGATGTGGCAAAAAAAACACTCAAAAGAACATTCAATTCAAAATCTACAATAGTGGTTTTACCTCCGAAGACAGGATTTAATATGGAACCTGGGAAAGTTCAACCAACTCATTTCCAAAATCCATAACACTGAACTTCATCAGAATTGAAAACAGAGAAACAAAAGAAATTGAGCTCATTTCTACCCCCAATAACTTCCTCTGATGCCTTACCAAATAGTTGCAAGAGAACATCAATAGCAACCCCAAATTCTTTCTTTTTTCAAAACGGAAATCCCCACATTACAAATGCCAGTAAAAAATAAAAGAATTAGAAAGGGAAGAAAATAAATGAATTACCTGGCCCTGCATCTCTAGCAACTGTTCCAGTAACCACAAAGATCCCTGAGCCAACTGAAGCTCCAATGCCGATGAGTATGAGTTGAAAAAGACCAAGGCTGCGAACCAGGCCTTCTCCGGCCACTGGTCCGCCTCCATGGCCTAGGGTTTTGGATCTGAGAGCAGCAGAGTAAAATGACCTGAACCAGGAAGAAATGGGAGAAGAAGAGGAAGAAGATGATGTGGTCATTGGATAGAGAGAGAGAGAGAGAGAGAGAGAGAAAGATATGTAGAAAGAGAAAGCTTCCTGCAAATTATTGAAAGAGGGCAATCTACTGAGGAGAGAGAAGGATTGATGTGAATTACTGGAAGAGGCAATCTAGAGAAAGAATGAGAGATTGGTACAAATTACTGGAAGAGGCAATGAAAGCGAGACAGAGAGAGAGAGAGAGAGAGAATTTGCTTGAAATTATTGCAAAGGCAATCTATAGAGAGAGGGAGAGAGAGATTGCAAATTGTAGGAAGATGAGAGAGAGAGAGGGAGACTCCCTAGCAAATTATAGAGAGAGATTACCACAATTTACAGGACGAGGAGAGAAATAGAGTTAGAGAGACCCACAAATTACAGGAAAAGGGGAGTGTGAGAGTTTTCGTTGAGAAGTTTTGAAGGGGTACAGAGAGAGATTCTAGGAAGAGAGAGAAAGTTTGCCACAAATTATACGAAGAGGAGAGAGAGAATTAGCTGCGAATGAATCAAGGGAGAGAGATTACGGCAAATTTTAGGAAGGGAGAGAATCCTGCAAACCAGTGGTGAACTCAATCTACACTTCTTTTCTATTATACATGAGGATAAATAATCTAGAGAGAGAGAGAGAGAAACATTATCCAGGGATAGGGAGAGAATCTAGAGAGAAAGTCTACAGATAAATATATTCTAGAGAGAAAGGGGAAAAGGCCGTACAACATGAAGAGAGGCTCTCGTTCCAGAGAGGGAAAAATCTCCAGAGAGTACAGAAATAATGGAGAGAGAGAGTCTCTCAGTCAAGAGAAAGAGAGAGAATCTAGAGAGAGAAAAAGAGGAGGCGTACAGTAACAGCTCTGTTCTGTCTTGTTCGGTCGTTCCCCGTTACGATTCATTGCATGAAGCTTATATACAGTAAGATTCATTACAAGGGTACAATAGTCATTTATCAAAAGGCTATTTATGCCCGATTTGTCAACCCTATATTATGTTTCTCACTCTAGAATCTTTCTGTACGATGTTTCTCTCTCTAGAATCTCTCTTTATATTTGAAATAAGTTTATATTTATTGGAGCATGCTGCACCTCAAAAACCCTACAAAAGGAAGTGCTTCAGTCTTGGAGAACCTTAAAATTGATCATATCAACCTTAAAATCTATGGATATGAAGAAAAATGAATTTTAAATTCAATAAAAAGTATAGTTAAATCTAATAAATAGCATAAATAGCAAGTTTTTAGAAGTTTAAGTATTTATTGATTTGCTCAATTTATATCATTTTAAAAATATTAAATTTTATAACTAGAGTTTAAAAATATATTTTCAAACCATCGTAAGGTTTCAAACACTGGAACAACATCTCAAGTAAATTTTAGAGATACGCTTTACTTCTATGGTATAAATAGACAACATTATACAAAACTCACCCTATTTATTACTCTTATTAATTTACCCTATTTCAATTATCTCAACCCATAGTCACTATATTTTTTGGTAGTATTTAAATTAAATAAAAAAATATTTAAAATATTAAACGGCTAAAATTATCATGCTTCAATTTTAAATAAGAAAAATTTATCAAAATACTTACGAGAGATACACTATTTAGGATATTACGCTTTCACCACTATCCAATTCATGATTATATGTCTTTTACGGTTATTTTTAATTAAATCAAACAAAATAGGGACAATGTTAAATAGTTTAAATCACATGAGTATTTTGATCGGTTTCACTTTAAATAATGATGCACATTTCCAAATCTCGTGAGAATAATGTCATAATTCACTGCAATGGCCTAAAAATCTGTTCCGCACTTAATTAGGAAATTCTAATTCTCAAAGTTTTCCATATTAAACAAAACTACAAATACAAGTCATCAAGTAGATCTACAAATACAAATCTAGGTAATGTGTTTCTAGTGTGCTATTTTAGTTCTTGAATTCTTTTTGTTCTCGTGTTTATGCTTTTTTTTTTTACTAAGATTTTTATGACCATACACCAGATTTTTATGACCATACACCACAATGTCGAGATGATCAATTTTAAGAAAATTTTCCAATTTCAAAAAAGATGGACTTTTAAAGTGTACATTATTCTTGTAATATAAGACTAGGGGATTATATACTATGAGGCTATTTAGTTTTAGTATAATAAGGTCGCAATCATTTTTAACTATTGGATGTGAAATTCAATGAATGAAAGTGTGCCACGATCTTCAAAAAAATTTGTTTTGAATTTTATGCTTAAAAAATGACACATTCTCAATCACCCAATTTCAAATCCAACACTCAATAATGACTGTGAACGCTTCATATCATCGGTTAATGGTCTCATTGATTTCCATTAAGTCATTATTTAAAGGAAATTTGTTTCATGTTAGCTGGACCGCATTTCTATAATAAGCGGTCTAGAGGTATAAAGCATTCATGTTAAAGATGGATGCAAAAAGGTGGCCCATCTAAAAACAATTGTAACTAACGGTCCAAATATTTTTTTAATATAATTATTATTTTTAATTTTCAATTTTTTTTTCCTTCATATTTATGATCTCCCCATTCAATATTATATATTCTCTAAAAATTAAGATCAAATTATATTTAAAATTTTATTTATTGCCAAGCCCTCATTTCTATAATACGCAAGTTGGATGCATAGAACTGTATCCTTATCCAAAACATCAATATTTATTTTGTCAAGGACACAGTTTCTATGCGGCCACCTCGCGTATTATAGAATGTGGGCTTGGCAATAAAGGATTGTATACAATGAAATTGTTTACCTTTTATACAAGGTACAAGGTGGTCACAATTCCTTACAACTATTTGATATGAAATTTGATAGCTCGGATGTGTCATAAAGTTATAAAAAATTTATTTTGAAGTTTGAGTTTGGTCAATGGAATAATTGCAGGCACCCAAATTTACATCCAATGGTCAAGATTATTGTGACCACATTGTATAAAAGGTAAATGGTCTCATTCTATACTTTCCCTAACAATAAATATATTTTTTAATTATAATTTGATCTTAATTTTTAGAGAATATATAATCTTTAACATGGAGATCATGAATATAAAAAGAAAAAAAAAAAACTAAAATAATAATTATATTAAGAAAACATTTGGACTTTATACCTCTGAACTGCATTTCTACAATATGCAGTCCAGCCGGCATGAAACAATTTTCCTTTTATTAAACATACCCTTAGATAAGTTTTTTTATAATTTGCAAGGGAGATTTTGTTGGGTTTGGTGATAGTTAAATCACCGTACCCATATTTTCTTATAAAGATTAAGGTATTATGGAAAATGAAAATTTGACTTCTTTGGGAAGCAAAAAAGTGACATTGTTATAAAATAGTGAAAGATGACGTAATACTCATCCTTTAAAGGTCATCCATTTGGGAGTTAGGTGAATAGATCTCCATTATGGAGATGGGTCTCCAAGAAAAAGATGAATGATAAAGTTTTATGGATACATGTTTGAGGTGGAGAAATATGAAGTTTGTGAAAATTCCACAATTGAGGCAAGTGAAAAGAAATCAAAAAATATCTATGATTTGAAGTGGAGATATATGAAGGTAAAATATTTATGAAAATTCTAGGCAAATATGAAAGAATCAAGAATCTATTCAATGAAGGTTGTCAAGGCAATTATGGTGATTTTGCTATCAAGGTAAAAATTGTTGAGTTTTGTGATAGCTAAATCACTGTACCAATATTTTTTTTTAAAGATTAATGTATTATAAGAAACAAAAATTTGACTTTTTTGGGAAGCAAAAAAGTGTTATCTTTATAAGAGAGTGAAGAATGACATAATACTCATCCTTTGAGGGTCACCCATTTGGGGGTTATGAGAATGGGTTTCCAAGAAAGAGAGATATGGTCTCTTAGAGAGAGGCGATATTCTCATGAGATTTGGGTTGGTTAACTTCCACTTCTAGAGAGAGAAAATCTCTATGTTGCTCTTAAGGTTATTTTTCCAATAGCGGTATTATGGTGGGAAAAATGATGTTGATCGACAGTGTTGTTCGGTCGGGAGAGCAGGATTAGAATGGAAGATCGGTGATGGTCTTTTACCGATGTTTAGAAATAGGTATTATCTCTTGTAACTCAAAACTGCAATCTTCATTATGATAGTGGATTTATAGTTACCGAGATTGTGGATATAGCCCTACGGGGTGAATCACGTAAATATTGTGTTGTTGTGGTGTATTTTTTATGTTTGTTTTATTTCCCGCACTCGATTTATAGTTGTATTCATCTATTTCACATTTGGCCAATTGCATACATGATCTTGGGTGGGATACCGATATTTGGGATTCCCGAATTCGCAAGCTAAGTTGTTCATGAGATCCCTACATATTTTTCAAAACACAACCACACAAGGGCAACTTGGAACGTGGAGGCCATATTTAAGGGCATCGTCGTCATTTTTCACCAATCCAAAAAGAATTATCAAGTGATCAAGAACATGCTTTGATTATGAAACTACCAATGATGCATGCAATTTAAGTATGGAAAATTGTTTCATGCGGGCTTGACCGTATTTCTACATATGCGGTCTAAAATATCCATTTTGAAGATAAATGTATGTAAGTGTTTCATTTAAAAACAATAGAAATTAACAGTCCAAATGTCTTCTTATTAAAATTATTATTTATAATTTTTAAAATTTATTTATTTATTCATATTAGAGATTACATGTCCGCATAAACCGGGTCCTTTAAGTAATACCTAGTCAATAGCACGTGGGTTGGACACGGTTTCATGTATAGAATTTGATTTTTTTTTTATTAGTTTTATTTTAATTTACATTATTTCTAAGTAATATATGTCATCCTTTCATATTATGCCCCACCCCAATAATTTTAAATAGCACAACTAACCCATAAATTATTTAATTTTTCATCTAACACCTAAACAAGAAAGTAGGCTTTTAAGACCCCCAAGATTATTTATTTGTTCATCCACCCCAAACTATTTATTTTTGTTGAAAATGTGAACCAAAGTTTCTGATCATGCCCATCTCAATACTTTTAAAAAAGTAAATTTTTTATCGAACCCCCGTAACTCCAATACTAGTTATTTTTCAGTCAACCGCCCTAAATAAAAAAGTAAATTTTTAAGGATGAAAATACCCCGATGTTTTTAAGATATTTATCTCTCAAAAAACTTGAGATTTGAAATTTTAGAGAGAAACTATGTCAAAAATTTTAGATAGAGAAACCTCTCAAATGTTTTACAGAGAGAAACTACCACAAATTTCAAGTTTCAGAGAGAGAAATTATCTAAAATTTCAAATTTCCATAGAGAGAAACTATATCAAATTTATTGGAAAGAAAACTATCTCAAATTTCAAATTTTAGAGAGCAAAAATCCTAAATAATTTTTTGAGAGTGAAAATACATCAAAATTTGTAGAGAGATGAACAATCTCAAATTTCAAGTTTTTGGGAGGGGAAGAATGTGGGTTTATACATAGGATATTATTATTCTAAATAAACTATTTTCTTATTCGGGGTGGTGAATAAGTAAATAAATGATACTAAAGTTAGTGGTATGATTTTAGTACTGGTAGCAACATGCCTAGAAATGGCTCAAGGGGATAAATATAATTTTCTCTAGTTGTTTTTAGGGCAAAAATGCTCCCATATATAAACCCACATTTTTTCCATCCCCTTTCAAATTTGTAGAGTTTCACTCTCTAAAAACTTAAAATTTGATATACTGTCTCTCTAAAGCTTGAAATTAAGGGGAAAAAAAAAAAACTCTTTCTAAAAAAAGTTGAGATAATTTCTCTCTAAGAAGTTTGATATAATCTCTCTCTACAATTTCAAGTTTTTAGTGAGAGAAACTATCTTAAATACATGAGCGATATTTTTGTCTTAAAAAATTTACTTTCTTATTTACTATGTGGACGCAAAAATAAATGGTATCAGGATCAATAGTCACCATCATCATCACCATAGCCTTATTCCCAACTATTTGAGGTACGTGTTGTACTGGATATGTGTTGTACAAAGTAGTAGGATCAATGGTGTAGTTTAAAAATTATTGAAGTAAAAAATGATTAAAAAGTTTGGCTTAGAGGGTATCTATAATTTGGAAAAAAATTATGCAAGGTTGACACCTTAAAATATAGAATTAAAGTGTATATAAAAAAATCCCTCAAAAAAACCTGTTTTGATATTGGAAAAACATCTAATTGATCATCTCAACATCAAGATGAATGAATATGGAGAAAATAAAGAGTTTAAATCCCAAAAATAGCACGTCTTACAACATTTTATTTGGACCGTCTATTTTTAAGAATATTATGTATTTATAGATCTACTTGATTTAAACCATTTTTTAATTTTAAAATTTTATAATTAGACATGAAAATAGATTCTCACACCATCCTTAAAATTTTCAATTCCAAAAATACACCTTATGACAAGATTTGGAGGTATCTTATGACAAGATTTGGAGGTGCTCCTTACCATGATGGTTTATACAAACCGCACCCCTATACTTTTCCTTCCCGTTTACAACACATCATATGAAGTACAAATATTTGTATTTTACATTTAATTAATGCATTTTCAAATTATGATATTTCAAAGAGAAAATATAAAAAGGAGTTCCAACTCTTCTAATTTAAACTAACATACAAACATAAATATCTATTGACATTAAATACTATCACAATGATATATGGCCCTAATCACAATCATCTGATCTAGTCATTAATTTTTATGGGTGCCCATGATCTATTCGTTATCTATTTATATGCTACATTATTAAACTAAAATTAAAAAGTGGACACATGTTGCAAAAATAAAAAATAACTTTCTCTAAATAGCTTGCTGAATAGGTGCTTTTCAAATAATACCCACTATTTTTAGACAAGTTAATGGTGGGAATGGAGGGAAGGACGCTATGTTGAGGCTCCTACCCCTAACCACCGAGGCCCTGAGCCCATTTCCTCATGTAGGGCACCACATTACTCAAAAACATTTATTCACAAAGACGATAATCTCATCGCATTTAATTCTTTCTGGAGAAATGGTTTTTATTTTTATTTTTAAATGTTCCTGAGATATGGATAATTGAGTTACATAAGCATTTATATTGGGATTCTTGACTTGACTAAGAACAAAACCTAACAAACCCTGAACATTTACTCACAAAAAAAAAAGAAAGGGAAGAAGAAAAGAGAGCCAAATGAGAGGGACAATGATACATGAGAGGTTTGAAAATCCTAACAAGATACAGTGTGAATAAAACTGCAGGCTCAAATATTACACCATGCAGCTATCTTTTCCTCTAGGAAAGTTCATAGTAAGTTTATCTAGGTACAAGAAGGTCATATCAACCGTAACGGTTGATGTGAAATCCAACAGTCACAGATACATCATTGACCATGCTCAAAGTCCAAGAAATTTTTTTTTGATTTATGATCTTTTTGTATCAAAAATAAATAGCCATATATATAATCCATTTCCTTTTAATTATGTACATTCCAACATAAATTTCCATATACAATGCATTTAAAGTACTTTATTTCGGCCACTAACTACTGAGATTCCCCTGATGGGAGCTTATGGTAGTTGTGTTGATTGTCTGAAGCAGCCAAATTGGCATGATGTTGTCCATAAACAGCATAAAGGCCTATGCTCACAATGCCCACGACTGCGAATCTGACCCATGCCTCCCAGTGTAGCTGCAAAAGAATCAGTACACCAGTGAAATATATTACCAATCGAATGGATCCCCATCTCTCTTTCTGTGTTTGTGTGTGCGTGCGTTTATGCACTCCCACTCTATTATGCACATAAGGGACATCATAAACTATTTCAGTGTTTACCTTACAATAAGAACATGGTACATCTGTACATGTCTCTGTGTACCCGTGTGTGTGTGTGTGTGAGAGAGAGAGAGAGAGAGCATCAATGGCGAACCTTTGTTGATATTCATAGACATGGGTTATTTGAATGTGTACATGAAGTGCAATGCTCTTGGAATGAGTTCTCCAGTAGGACACTCAAAAGGGTTTGGTTGCTCAATGTGCAACCAGGTAAAACTTGTCTATAATCCAGACATCCATCAAATGCAAATAACAGTCCCCTCGAACAATAGGAACATGCAGAAAAGAAGAAAAAAACCTCTACAAATAGAATAAAAATGCATAAAAGAAAGAGAAATAATTGAAATATCCAATAGGACCGGTAAAGTTAGGGATCAAGACTAAGATTTTAATGAAAGGCACTTTGAGGAAGTCACCTGAGCAAACAAGAACAAGTTGAAGAAGATGCAAACCAATGGCACAAAGGGAACTCCAGGGCATGAGAACCCAGAAGGTGCAGCATATTCCTGATACACAGCATCAACGCAATGAGAAACCATTCCATTAATTTAACTGAAATGATTTCTTGCTCCCGCGGGAGCAAACTGTCCACTTGCACTACTGACCAACTTAAAAAAAAGAAAAATAATAAAAATAAAACACACTCTCCGTGAGCCTGGAACAAATAACACCCTAAAGTTGAACGTAGGGCATCCTATGTTGGACAGCAATATCTAAGTTTTAGAGAACTCAATTCTTTTTTTAAAATAATCATCTAGTGATTCTTAAGAGGATCCCAAAATTTCAGATAGAAAAAATCTTCCAAGTAGGTTTTTCATCCAAGGGCACATGTGGACAGTATATGCTCCTGCAGGAGTATAGTATATGCGCTATTAATTTACAATTGAAAATTAGATGTTAGTACAGGAAGCAATATATCATGAGAGAGGAGCAATTACCATGAAAAAAGAGAAAAAGGAAGGAGACATGGAATGCCATTCTTACATAGCAGCGCATTGCTTAAAGCTTCACATGTATGAAATTTGATACGATAAAGTGAATGTATGCACTAACACAGCAGCGCAAGATGTTAACCTAGCTTAAAGCTTCACATGTATGAAATTTGATATGATAAAGTGAATGTATGCAAGAGACAACGGTGGTCATCCATGGTTTCCTTTTATTGATTTATTGCACAGTTTCCTATAGTGAAAGATTGTACATCATCATGCATGATACATGATTACATGTTACCAAAGAAAAAAGAAAAAGACTAGCATGACATACGCTCCCTAATCTAGATGTATTCAGTCTGAATTAGTCTAGAAAGTGTGATATTTGAACCTCAAACCAAAATACGTTCTCAACCAGCAGTCCATTTTTAAGTTTTAGATTAAAAAAAAGCACTCCAACCTCAGAGATGTATTTGATAGTTAAGGTTTTGGAGATCTCACTGAAAGTAAGACATTATTACTGATCTGCATTGAGATTTATGATGGTATGCAACTGAAACTTCTAAAATATTTGTTCAGATACCAGAATTGGCAATTGTTAATGCTTTTCTACTATATTTACCTCTATAGTTGCTATAAAAGGAAAACATGTTTGGAAACAATTCAAAAGATGCAAGAAAAAGGACTGATTTGAGATACAAGACAAAAAAAGAAGAGTTGAAAAAAGCATCAAGAATTAGAATAAAGAATTGCTTACAAAAATATTCAAAAATATTTGTCACAAAATGCTCGAGAAAATCAAGGGAAACATGTGAAGCACTCTGTGGAATGGCGACAGCAACATCACAAAACCCCAAGGGATGGGATATCTTTCTCTCCTTGCATCAAACTTGTATTGTACTTCTTGTACTCCATGTATCAACAATAAAGGTAAATAATCACATGAGAGAGATAGAGAAAGAGATGGTGTGAAACTACAAATCCAGACTATATAAAATAACACCCACTTAGAAACATGGCTCTTGGCACAATGGTTAGAGCGGTGAAGCTACAATGTGAAATCAAGAGTACCAGCCCTACCCTGTTCAAAAAAAAAAAAAAGAATAAAAATAATAAACTCACTTGGTTATAGTGAAGAACTACAGCAAATAGCACTGCCATCACAACTAATGCCAAAATGCAGATATTTGAAGCATTGCATTGATATAAAAGCCCAGTAAGAAAACCACAAGAAGCAACTCCAAGAAAGCAGATGACACCCTTCTGGTATGTTGTTATCCCCAACATGTAGGTTAACCTTGTATCCTTGTGTTTTAGACGGAGAGTTACAACACAGGCTGAAACAACGGAAGAGCTAGCCTGTCAAAAAAAGGAAAATGTTTCAAAGAGAATGAATCAGTATATCACAAGGCAATGTTGCTCTTACCCATTAGAAAACTAAAGAAATATGAACCTGTTCTCTTAAAAACCAAATGGTACAACCTAATTGCTTGCATATGTATTGCATTGGAATACAAAACCAGCACAAATAAAATATTTATATATCAAACTGGAGAAAGAGCACATTCAAGGAATAAGAAGGTAGGAAACAATATAGAAAGGGAACTACAAACATACAAAATATACTTGTTTTCTCTTCTCATAGCTCAAGAAAGGAAGGAAGTGAACTATTGGCAACCTTCTCACAATGACTTAAATATCATGCAGAAGGGAGTCCAATGTTATAATAAGCAATGTTGTCTAAACCGGATCAGAGCAGCTGGTCCATACGGGGAAACTGTGAACTAGTGACCATTCCGATCTGTTTGAACCCCCAAAATGGCCAAAGAACCTTCCTCGAACCAGTAGATGGGCTGTCTACTGGTTCAAGGCCGAACTAACTAGCGCAAATAGGGTTAAAAATGAACTCTATTTTCTTTATTTTTGGGCATTTTCATCATTTTTAGTTGGTTGTTTTGTCCATTTGAAAAAGAATAGGGCATATTGGCCCTTTTTACAAACAGGGAGGGTTTTGGGGCTTTAGAGTGGATTTTGAGAGAGGGAGATAGAGAGAGAGAGCTACTTTAGCGATTTGTGCTCCGTCCACCAGGAAAACCCCAATATCTTTCGCAAAATTTTGGTGACTTTCAAGGAGGAGCCAGCCAAATTCAAGGCCCAAGTAAATTCATCACACTATTGTCTTCATTTGTTTGGTTTATACATAGAAAAATAGAAAAATTTTCAGATTTTTTTTCAGGTTTCTGTTAGAAATATTTCTTTCAAATCAATGCAATAGGTTGTTTCCTTTATTCAATTTAAAGGTTTTTTACTTTCAGTTGCTTTAATAATTTTCTTATTTTAGATTTTTGCTTTGTAGCTTGTAATATGTATTTTCTGTAAATAAATATTAGTTTTTTTTTTATTATTATTATTTGTTAATGTTTCAATGGAACTATGATTATTTTTCATAGCTGAAAAATGTTCTAATATTTTACTGGAACTTTCCTTTTTTTCCATGTTTTCCTTGATTTCTCCGTCTGTTATCTATTTTTCCTTTGTTCTTTTTTTTGTGTTTTTCTTTTATTTTATGACTGGTGCAGTCCAGCCAGTCTTGACCAGTCCAGTGTTAAAAACATTGCTAATAAGGGCACCAAGGGTTATGAGAAGATCTTTGTATTACCAAGCGATAAATTAACTCCCTTCTTATTTAAAAACGTGTCAGGTAATTTTATTGTTTATGACATAATTGGGGTGCTTTCGGCTGTTTCAAAGTAAGTTTGGAGAGCTCATACGGATATAGAAGCAAAACACACTCAAATGACTCCTAAACATTCCAAGGAAATCTAATTTGAGATGTCACCAATATTTTGATATGGTTGGGGTGGTTTAATCTACATCGGAGACAATAAATTTATGCCAAAGCAAAGGTTAGAGAGCGTACCAACCCACCAACTGAAAGAATATGAGAAAGGCGATGGACATCAAAGAGTCCAGCAATGATTCCCACGATGGTGCCAACCCAGACCTGTGAATGAATAGGGATATGGCGTGTTGGGTGCACCTTAGCAAAGATCGATGGCAGCAGACCATCCCTTCCAAGCCCCACATATATGCGTGACTGGCAGCAAAGAATGGCATACTCATAATAAAAGGCATGTTTAGTATCAATATTCAGTTCTGGATACGTATATTCAATAATTTATCGCCAAAAAAAACAAGGAATTCTGTAATTGAAAACTGAAGTCCATTGGGGTACGGTGAAATGAGGAACATTGACAGAATGACAGCTGGAACCATCAATGGGGTCATGTCCTGTTTTTGTCATGCTGGATATATCTCACCTTTGAATAAATGTGGCCAAGAAGGTTCGTCGTAAGGCCAGCAACGGCACCACCGCTGATCACAACAGAAATAAATTTTAGACCCTTTGCAGCAAAAGCTTCGGCTAATGGAGCATCCACACCAAGCGATTTGTATGAGACCATTCCAGTTATCACCAAGCAGACACCAATATAGAGTACACCACAAGATAGCACACATACAAGTATGCCTAGCGGCAAATCCCTCTGTAACATAGAAGGATACAATTAGATATTTTGTGAGAAGTGTAGGAAGGGCAGAAGCCTAGAATGTGCCATTTTATATCTATACATTAATAGAAAACTTCTAAGAACCACAACCAACAAATCCAAAAGTCTAATTATCAAGACAAGGATGATAGCACAAAAAGAACATCCCTTTTTCATACCTGAGGCCTTTTTGACTCTTCAGCTGAACTTGCAATTGAGTCATACCCCGCATATGCATAAGCGACAACAGTGGATCCCGTAATTATTGCTTTATATCCATTTGGAGCAAAAGGAGACCAATTGGATATATCCACCTCAAAAGCCCCAATTAAAATAACAAGAAGGATTATAAGCACCTGGGAGATAATTGCCTTCATATCAATCACCGTATAGGAGATAAATTGCATACTGTACAGCACCTTTGAAAAAATTGGGAATTCTTGCTTGCTTTTAAATACGATTCTTACTTGATTTGAGGTAAAATCCAATATTGAAACAGCCTAAAATTTCCATTTTCAATTTATCTTTCAAACTAGCGCAAGATTTTTTGATAGACAGTTCCACATGAAGAAACAAGGTCTGCAAACTGCGCATAGGTTTCAAAGGAGCCTTAGGAAATGTTCGTATGATCACAATTCAAAAAACTTAATCAAAGCAAAGGGCTACCTTTGTCACAGTCATAAATGAATTCATCAAGGTTAATTCCCTCAAGCCCCGGCATAATATTAGCGTCATTAATAAAACAAGAATAGGGGCCAAAAGATTGATGGATAAGACACCTCCAAATAACTCTACTCCACTTGCCACCATCCAACCAGGCCAGTTCTCCCTAAAGAAGGGGAAAATATTCAATAGCATAACCAGATAACTAGCCAGGCTACGGGCTATAGTGGCGGTCGAAATGTGGTAATCAACCATGAGTTGGGCGAAAATGAGAAAAGCTGTAAGCTCATTAAACGCCACATACGAATACATATATGCTCCCCCCACAATAGCTGGAAGACATGATGACAATTCCGCATAGCAAAAGGCATTGAGCAAGCACGTAAATCCGGCAAGTAAAAAACTAACTACAACACCTGCATTGAAGAAAACAATAAACAACTAAGAATCCACCATTAGAGCTCGATGGTAGACAGCATGAATGCTTTCCCACTCATTTATCGACTGACTTTGGAGTTACTGTATCAGTTTTAACTGGAGTCAAAGCGGAAGGATAAAATCCAGCCAAACAATGAGCTTTGTCAAGAGCAGATTGAATAATCTAAATCTATCAACCATATTATTACTTGTGGAGAACACTGTTGACTAGTTGAATGAGCTCGACTAGATTAATTGTCCCCAAATTTTAATGTATTATAAACAATTAGATCTTGGCAGAGATCAAAGAAACAAGATGTTCTTACATATAAGCGAAATAGAGAAAACAATTATTGCTATTCATTGATCAAGTAAACTGAGTCTTGAGATCAAATACAAGTGGTCATACAGTTTCCTTATCAAAGCAATAAGGGCTACATGCACACATGAATGCAGACATATATTTGCAGCTACCTCACTTTTTGCATCATCATACCCATCTTGTCTTTTGTAAATAGATGACAACTCTCATAGCAAAGAAACAAAATTTATGAGGACTAATGTAAAAGAAAAATAACCATTCAAAAGTAAGATTTTTCACTAATCCATTTACAAAGTTCAAACATCATGAAAAGGCCTAAAACTTTGAGGAAATGAAATGAGAGAAAAATGAGAGAGAGAAGTTTCCATGGAGAGAGAGAGAGAGATCACCAGGGCCAACATCACGTGCAGCTGTTCCGCAAATGACAAAGATGCCAGCACCAATAGTGCACCCAAGCCCAATGAATATGAGATCAAGGAGACTGAGTTGCCGAACCAGGCCTTCACCAGTTTCTAAAGGAACACCACGAGTAAGGGGTTTCGATCGTAGAGATGATGAACAAAATGACTTGAACCATGAAGAAGAAAAAGAAGTAGTAGCAGGAGAAGGACAATCAGAAAACATATTTGCATTCATTAAAGAGATACAGAGTGATATTCAATAGAACTGGGGTTTTCCCTTAGTTTGGAAAACCAAAAGTGCAAAAACCCTAAATCTTAAACCTCAAAATCCATGGAACAATTGGGATTTCTGCTACTTTGTTCCCAAAGTTCCGGGAATAGCTAAGAAGATTCCACGATTCCTTTGTCCTTAACCAAAAAAAAGCCATTCCTTTGTCCACTGTTGCAGGTTCTGCTATTTTTGTAGGGTATGTTATGTCAGCAACCAGCCAATCAACAATTAGGGCAAGCAAAAAACTCACAGCCAAGAAAAAACAATGGAGCATCATCTTAGGTATCACCCACCGAGAAAAACATAAAATTCTCTGAGATTTTTTTTTTTTGGGCAATTAATTCTCTGAGATAATTGATGTCTGTGGAATTCACTATCAAATAATTAACTATTAAACTATTCAACAAACAAATCAATCAATTGATAAATTAGTAAACTTTTCAAGAGACGATAAATAAAGTAAGTAAGAAAATCATAGAAAAATTCAAATCGTCAGACATTTTGCTTGAGAAAGATATGAACAATGACTAGCAATGATGTTACATA